TGTCTTTCATTTTTCTAAATCATTTATTAGATGTTAATTAGATAAATCTATATGTTAACAATTTGGTTCGATTAATGTTTCATAACTATGTTTTATTCCATTGTTCATTATACAATGTTCTAACATTCGATTTTTTACAGGATGGATTACCATCTACATACAGAGTTGAGGCAGATGTCGGGGAAAGCTACATGGAATAATAGTTTCGATAGTTTTACTATAGTACTGGAGCTGTTGGATGATCAACACGCATATATCTTACGCTAGTCCTTCCTCTGGCCCCTGTGTCAGTTGAGGGAGGTGCAGTACTCGGGGCAGATAATCAACGCACTACTACGCCGGTTGTTGAGTCCGATCGACGATGATGCCCTCCACTTTGACCTCGGAGGCAATATCGCCAATTTCTCTATGTTCGAGTTTGCCCTGATCACTAGACTAAAGATTACGAGCGATGAGCTAGCTCGTGACAGTACTTAGAGAGTTAACAGGCTGCACGGTACTTACTTCCATGGACAGGGGACAGTACTTCTACCGCAACTGATCAAAGCGATGAGGGGGTGTGACTAGACGTTAGATAGACTATAGCTAGGTCTAGTATACATCCTTGAGTCCGTGGCGCGGTGTCACCACAAGAAGATTGCAATCGACCTTTTCCATCTGGTGATCGTCGACGACATCGATGGATTCAATAATTATCCTAGGGCCAGAGATGTTTCGAGGACACCGTACACCTCTTCATCATATCGCACTCAAAGCCCAAGGGGCCCATGCGCAAGTACGATGCTTATGGATTGTCCCTGGCGGTGCAGGTACATGTTTACATAATCAATGTCAAAATCTTTATACTATTGAATTTATATATAATAATTGCACGTATTGCAGATTTGGGTGTATGAGACTATCCCCTACTCGGTGCTCGCTTTGCGAAGCAACAGGAGACACGATGCCCTCGGATGCATCATTGGCGAGCATCACGAGCGGATGGGTGTCCATCTGGGAGACAGTTATCGACTATCATCGACGACCCTCATGTGAGTATTATGCACTTTGTAATTTATATTATACGTAGTTTAAAATCTCATAGCGCAATCGTTAACTAGTTGAAATGTCAATAAATCAGATTGAAGTCATAACTGAGTTAACGCCATCGATGGAGCAGGAGGGTCGAGGGGTGGTGCGTGAATTTCATATAATTTATTGATTTTTTTTATGAGTTAATAATTGTTAATTAAGTTAATAATTTATAATGTTATTTGTGTAGGAGTACAGTCCAGTTGATTGACGATCATCGTCGAGGGCATCTTCTCCGTCGAGGGCATCACTTCCTTCTCGTCGAGACCTGTCTCCCTTGGATTTCCTACACACAATCAAGGTCATGGGATCGATGATCTGTATATCCTCCTGATCGAATTTATAACGGATGTGGAGCGACAGGTGATGGGTAGATTCGATGATATGGAGCGACAGTTGATAGGGAGGATGGGCGACTTATCCTACGATTTTAGACTGTTACGTGGCCACGTTGTATCCCCCCAGGATGAGGTCGCAGTGGTCCGAGATAATATTGTTGGTAGGCGATGGACTGACAGGGAGGGTGGCGGAGAGGGTGGTAGAGATGGGGGTCACCCATAATTTTGGACAGATGATGCATTAGAATCATTTATGTTATCTATAGAGTGAGATTGGGTGGCCCTGATGGGGGGAGAGGTGGCGGGGGAGGAGAGGGTGACAGAGGCGATGAGGCAGATGGAGACCGAAAGGTGGCCAGGGAGGAGAGGGTGACGGAGGTGACGATCCCCGAGGTAAAGGAGGGAAGTATTCGGGAGATGAGGCCCACCGTGATCGAAGGTAAGAAGCGTGTTGTTGACATGACGCAGCAGGCGATTGGTAAGAGGTCGAGATTGCCGTCGCAGTACGTCGTTTCTCCCTTCACGTCCAAGATGAAGAGGAGGAAGTTTGTTAACGAGACGATTCCCAAACTATTTTCGGGAGATGGACCATGCAAAATGGAAATTGTTCGAGATGGAGTGGAGAAGAATTTTGCCCCGGTAAGTATTTATGATATTCGTAAAGTGCGCTACGTTACTCGTACATACTTTTTAAATATTTTTTGATTCTTTTTTCAAGGCCAGCTGCACGATCGGTCAAATGACGATCTCCGATGCTTATAAGTAGTTCCATGACATCATCATTTCAGGAGCTTGGCTTGTCTACGATGTAAGTGAAGTAGTCATATTGTTATTTTTCATGTGTATATAATTTTTTGTTTATGTAACGAAAAACTCCGTTTTGTATTGGTATTTCTTAATGCAGCACATCGACTTGGCCATGGACTTGTTGCGTGATAGGGTTCAAGGATATTCGAGGTCATTTGACAGTCCTGGCCGAGTCATACTGAATTTGGAGTTCGGATGAAGCATTGACATTGAGTACTGGTCAATCCAACTGGCCGGTGAAGAGTATGTTGTGTCTGACTATATGCTCGAGTGGAGCATAGGGATGGGGCCGCGTGTCGGGGGAAACCATGGGTGTGTTGTACACACATGTACATACTAGTGATAGTGATTTATCACTGCATAGCTTTGAAAATTATGTTTCCTGAATCTACTATATATGTGTACGACCCGATCATTCATGTCTACACTGGGTCAGCTCGAGCAAAATCTAGAGTCCATCGCTATTTTCGTCCCTATGATAGCTAGATGGGTGGGCTTGACTGTGCAGAATAGATTAGCCATCGTGCGGGTCACGACGACGGCGAGACAAACAATATGGTAAGTAGTTGTAAATTTTTTAAAATTTAATACTTAATTTTTTTGTTGCACGGTACTGATCTAACTCATTATTGTTCAATTGTAAGGGCGATTGCGACATGTTTGTAATAAAGTATACTGAGTTTTTAAGTATAGGACATAAGGTTGATGGAATCAACCAATTCTGAATACAAATTTGGAGAAATAAGTTAGCGTGTGATTTGTACAACTTCAGTTGTGATACGCAAATACTGTAAATATTTGATTTTTTTTAATTACAAAATGTTTGTAAACACTCTGAATATTGATTTGTACCTTGTGAATGAATGTAATGGTATATTATTTTCTGTATTTAAATACTTCATCTACGATATTAATAATCTATGAACATTATTTATTTAAGTAAATAATAATTGATTAAATAAATTAGAAACAATTATTTTCATACATGGTGAATATTAAATACACAATTATTATTCATAACCAACTAAAAATAAATATTACATAAATAAATTGTATTACACATCTGCTGCATTGTTATACAGCGAAATCTGGCTTACTTGTGATCATTAACAGTCGGCTGTTAACAGTCGATGTTAATTTCGTTTTTCGATTTTTCAGATGAATTTTTTTCATCGTTCTTGCTAACAAAAATTATAGATCCATTTAAGATTGTAAAAAATTATCTGTTTATATCGAAATAAGATTTAGAGATTCAAACAATATATTGATTAGCTATAATAAAATAAAAAATACGTAAAATATACTTATCAATTTCGAGTGATGGTTGTGAATAATATTTTCTTGTTGAGCTTTTGATAATTTTGTGAGATCTCTATGTTGAAGCAGATGAAAATTGAACTTTCTTTTTATCTGTGTTGTAGAAATTGATAAGGAAACTGATTTGGTTTTGAAATTTAGGTGGGAGTGTTTGTAATTTATTTGTTATTTACCAAGAGGTACTATTATCTTTTTAACAACCATATATTTTTGTAATTATAAAACATAAAAAGGGCAAATTTGTCATTTATATTTCAAAGGGCCATTGTGGTGAATGTGAAAAATGAATTGGTCAATGTGGCAAATGTGTTATTTGACTTGGTTAATCTTAAAAGTATCCCTATATATACATGCAAATATGACAAGGTAATCATTATGCATATAACGAAATAATCATTATAGATTCGCATACAAGCAACAAGGCACACACACACACACACACACGCACAAATGATCTCCTAAGCATCCGTACTTAACTTATATTAAGTATTGGTGATATGACACGTCATTTAATTGATAAATAAGTTAATGGTAGGCCCCATATATTTAATGATACACCAATTAAATGATGTGTCAAGTCATCGATACTTAACATAAGCTAAACACTTTTGCTTGGAAGATCATTCCCATATATATATATATATATATTTGTAGATTAGTCTTGGTTTAGCCCCATTTTGGGGGGAAAATGTATTTTGAATAGTAAATTAATGTAGAATGTGATGTTAAAAATTAAGAAAAAGTTTTAAAAATACTATGAGGTGCTCGAAAATGGTTGAAGTAGTTGAATAGGAGGATCACTATGACTATAGCCCTTGGTAAATTTACCAAAGACGAAAATGATTTATTTGATATTATGGATGATTGGTTACGGAGGGATCGTTTCGTTTTTGTAGGCTGGTCCGGTCTATTACTCTTTCCTTGCGCCTATTTCGCTCTAGGAGGTTGGTTCACAGGTACAACCTTTGTAACTTTATGGTATACCCATGGATTGGCTAGTTCCTATTTGGAAGGCTGTAATTTCTTAACGTCCGCAGTTTCTACTCCTGCTAATAGTTTAGCACATTCTTTATTGTTACTGTGGGGTCCTGAAGCACAAGGAGATTTTACTCGTTGGTGTCAATTAGGCGGTTTGTGGACTTTTGTTGCTCTCCATGACGCTTTCGGACTAATAGGTTTCATGTTACGTCAATTCGAGCTTGTTCGATCTGTTCAATTGCGACCTTATAATGAAATGCGTATAATGTTATTTTATTGAAAAATGTGTAATTAAAAATTAATTTTTAGAAGAATGGAGATCAAATAAATGTATTTTTAAACTTTATTTTTACAGTTGTCGTGTTCGCATCTCATTATAAAAGGGTTTAGTACTTTATTGATAATAATAATAATAATAGGTATTTATTAGCTCACCTAAAGCAACAAAATACCTTAAATAACTGAAACGAATTCCTCTCTGTTTTATTGATTAGGAATTAGGAAATAAGGAATCCAGGGACTATGGCGGACAGTTACTTGGGACCCCCGCTTTCCTTGCGGTCTTCAAATTCTCATTTCCATATTCACAATTTTCCATTTCCATGCTCTCTTCTCCTTTCTTTTCCTCCTCCTCCATTTTCAAGAAGCCTCTCTTCTTCTTTTTCCTTTTCTTTTATGGCGCCCGTTAATTCTTTCTTGAACAATAGTGCTCACTGCTGTCACTGTTCATCCGCTTCCACCACCAGTACTGCTAATAATTGTGCCTCAAATCAGACTTCTTTGCTCGTTTTTTCAGGTATGTTATCCCTCCTTATTTATTTACACCCCCACGCACTAAAATATTTGAAATAAATTTTTTTTTTTCAAGAAAAGGGGAAAAGATTTCATTTGCGTTTGGTGTTGTTTTGGACCTCCCATAAGTACTGATCTTTTTATCGAATAATTAAATCCCATAAAGATTTCAAATTGTTTTGTGGTTATTCGGTTCTTGTTGCCAAGATTGTAAAATATTAGAATTCTGGGAGTTTTGCTATATTATTATAGTTGTTCGAAAACGTTGAAGAACGAAATCCTCTGATAATCAATTAAATCATACGAGCTATTGAAAAACCAAAAAATAAAATGAAACTTTGATGGAAGTTAAATCAAAACGTAATTCAATCCATATTTACACCGTTATTTCCTCAATGGCTGTAAAATAAATTGAACAGGGCTAAATGTGTTTGAAATTTTATACTAAAATATAGTTTCCTTGTTGAAATTTCAAAGTGAGTCATCATTGTAAGCAACAAAGGAATTAAAGTAGAAATCACAGAAAAGGAAGTATTGATGGCTCATAGGAAACAGTAACCTTTTAATTTAACCGCTTGGCCTAGATAAATAAGTCTTGGTTGGCATAAACATTCAGCTACTCAAGTCATCTGCAAATGCATATGAAATCGATTGGCACTTATATCACATCCCATTCTATGAAATTTCTACTAAATAGAAAATAACGTGATTAAGCATTGATGGAAATTTTAAGATTTTGACTTTGCACATAGTTCATGACTGTAACTGTGCATGCAGAAATCTTTCACTACTTGCACTTGTCATTCCTTTTGTTACTTAGTCCACTTAGTTAGAGCGTTAAGTGCTGGTAATCCCTTTGCACGTTGAATTTCTTTAATAAAAAAGAATCCACGGCTAAATGTTTAGTGCAATCATCTAGCGGTCGTACAGACATTCAAGATGCAACCTTTTGTCCATTTTTAGAGTGATAACAAGTAAATGGTGGATTTTGGAACTTTGTCAATCCTACTGGGTACCTATATCAGTATTTTTTTAGAACGTGATGTAATGATTCTCTGCTATTCACTTTCAATTGCAGTGCTAAAATTTCCAGCCTGTATGATTCTAATGCATGTTACATTGCATGGGAAAGTGTTGTCATATTTTAGACTCTTCGACACCTCTAGACCATTTGCTTTCTAGTTTGGTTGATAGATTCATTAATAAATGTAACCATGATACATGTGAGTTTCATCTCTCTGATTATCTAAAACCTGATGTGGATGCTTCCATTGTTATTGTCACACTTTGCCATTTCAGATGTCACAAAACTTTGCTCCATTTCTAGAAGCCAAACTAGTTTTATCTTACTTTCCCATTTTATCCACGGACAAAAATAGTTTCTTTGAATTTAAAGCAATCACGATGCATCATAGGCTTGAAATTTAAAATTCAAAATTAGGTAAGCCCCCGTTTGGTTCTGATTTTTCACCCAAAAAATTTAATTTTTTGACCATTATTTTCTTATTCCAGCCGTCATTTTTGATTTCGTTACTTGCAGGTGAGACCCACATTTCTCTCTAACGGTCAAAAAATCAATTATCATAATCACTATCGAACAGGCCTTAAATGATAAAAATGCAACCTAAATTTTAAAGTCATCTCCTTGAGATCAAACAAAAAATGATTGGATGGATGGTGTGCAGTATTCGAGATGCATATGGGTGCAAGATTTTCTAATGTATCTGGAGATTTAGGTTATTTTTACCAGTATCTTTAGTATATATGTCAAGCTTGTGGTTAGCAAGAAACATTATTTGCGCTTTTTCCAAAGATTCAATGAATAGTTTTCTGTAGAAGACTATGACTGACTCGAAGTCCAGATTGGCAGATATGCATGGTGACAACGGGTTGTGTTCTATAAATCTTAGGAACAGTGAGGCACTTCACTTATGTGGAACTCTATACTTCAATGCTGCATAGTATTTCTGCATACTATCTGTGTGAACTAGAAACCTATCATGGTTCCTGAGGAAAAAACTGTCTGACAACTTGCTGGTGCTGCAGGGGGAACTGCCTTTAATGGTGTTGTGGAAGAGCTCAAGAATTTAACAACTCGTGTGGCTCATGTACTCCCTGTTTCTGATGATGGAGGCAGCACTGCTGAGATTGTTCGTGTTCTTGGTGAGTTCTACAGCTACACTTTAAACCTTCTGTTTTAGCTATCTCCTTGTTTCTTGAGCTTTTGTCAATTGATTGCCATCGTTGGAAGGGCTGCTGGTTCTCAGGCTGGCTTCTGATGATTAAGCTAAACCCCACAAAATCTCAATGGTGCTTTCAAATCAGTCAATGCTATTAAATACTATTGATTACACAGTAGTGTATGACGTAGCATATTGACATTTCCGAGAACGTAAAGTAGGTGAAAGAAGTACCAGTTTAAAAGTTACTTTTACTATAGCATTAATTGATATGTTTTGTAATTCTATGTTACCTTTCCTCGAATAAACATTTTTACGGGTATGTTCGCAGGTGGTCCAGCTGTTGGAGACATTCGGTCAAGATGCTTGAGACTATCTGATCAAAGTACGTCCGAGGCTCTTGCAGTGAGGACATTGTTAGGTCACCGATTACCTCTTGAGGCACAGAAAGCAAAATCAGAATGGTATTAGGATCAATCTAGCTTGAATAATGCTTTCCTCCTACCTTAATGTTCTTTAGGATTGTTTATTTCTTTATCAACTAAATTGCCTTAAAAGGCTAATCAGTTTTGTGCCGTGGTTAGTTTCCTGTGCTTTCATTTATCTTATTCCTACTCCTACAGTTTTCTTCGAAATCCTCCCATCTACTTGCTAGGTCTTACCCTGTTTTTGGAGTAATAAGTGCTAGTTTGCTAAGTTGAGAATTCAACAGGTATGCTATCGTGGAAGGGAATCATTCTCTGTGGATGGATGTCTCAAAACCATATAGGGAAACTATTCGAGCTTTCTTGGTCTATTTCCAGGATCAGGTGTGTTGATATTGCCATGCCCATATTGCTAACTCCTAGATTTATAACTGGAAAGTATGTGCTTATTCTTATATGTAAATGTACTAACCTTGAAATATCTCCACAAAATGTTGTTTTTGCTCTCTTTTACATGCCTCTTGTCTAAATCTCATTTGGTCTAAGTTTGTGAAATTTGTTTGTTGAATGCAATTGGCCTTTCTCCTCCAGAACACCGGTAAAATTTTATTTTCTGATGTCAGTAGAACGTCGACTTTTGTAAGTCATTAATGGGTAAAACTATTGTAAAGCCACTGTTGTGGGAGTCCAAGAGTCATTAATGGGTAAAACTATCGTGAAGCCACTGTTGTGGAGTATAAGAGGTGGACATATTAATGATGTCTTCAAATTGGTAAATGTTGGTAAAATGGGTATGAGGTATCTTCTAATTGGCTTCTTTTTTCAAGGGGGGTGTGGGCTAAAATGGTAAAAAAACTGATTTTTTATTATTATATTTTGGGTTTTATTTATGGCTTAGCTTTTGTCAGTTTTCCACTCTACTTTTTTCGATACTCATCATATATATGTGTGTTGAACACACTTATTTTTGCAGGTACTCAGGCGGTCAGAAGAGTCTTTCTGTTTCAGTAATGGGAGGTACTTCACGATTAGTGAAACTTCCCATTTGAATCTTATTGTACCAATTTAGCATCCATTACGATGCTGCTTCAATTAAAGTGCTAGATTGAGTTTTATGTTTCAAAATTTCCTTCCAAGGGACATCTAATGCACAATTGAATAATATATGATGTTTGTGTTTTTCTGTGATGTATACGAATATACTTGGAGAATGACCAGGATGGTTAAGAAATTATATTATTGCAATTTTTTGCACAAGTTTTGTAATTTAAATTGAGAATTAACCATTATTTATTCTCGTGCAACGATTTCTTCGTTCTAGATAAGCATTTTGATTTGAGGTTCCCTGTTGTATTAACCAAAATGATATTAAATGGCTGTAGATATTATATAATCTATTAGTTTGTCTCTTTGGTTGATGATTTAATTTGTATATGGTTACCCACGTTAAAATTCTTTTATTCAATTTTCTATGTCTATAGCTTTTATTGTAAAGTCTATGATCACAAATTGAGGATGGAAGGTAATCAAGCTGGCTTGTCAACAAATTAGGCTTTGGCATATTTGATTCAGGTTTGATCCTGGTCCCCAAATTTTGATAAGTACTCTTGGGCCATTCAGACATGATAATTGCCCCGTTAGCCATTGATTATTTATTTTTGATGATTGGATAGGATTCAATTATATTAGATTCTCACTAGAACTCATCATTATTTACCTTAACATTGTTATAATATAACATAAATTAAAATACGGAATAGACATGAAAAATATTGATGAAACATAGTCAGGCTTACCCTAGATGAAGTTGTCGGAAACTCAACTGACTGAAGAAATGGCTTCAGGAGTGAGGTAACACACTAACACGTGGGCATTCAGGCTTATGAATAAGATGTAAAATAACGCCTGGGCATTGAAAAATGCTTACTTTGAGAAATCACAAGAATTGGCCTCTCACTCCCAAATAAAATTAACATTCTAGTTAGTATTCTACATGTTTAACATGACACAGTCAGTTCTGTTATTACTTATTATTGAGTTTCTCTCTGGATTACATTATACTGTAATTATATTCTATTAGGTTTTCCAATCCTGCTCTTCCCTAATACTTAAGTTGTTGTGACAATTGTTAGGACAAGCTTGATTTTGTTAAACCAGTCCATAATTGATTCTCTCGTCACATTTGCAGCATTGGGAATTTTTTCTTTGCTGGAGCACGCATATTCTTTCAGTCTTTAGATGCTGCAATCTTTTTGTTTTCACGTGTCTCAGAAATTCCCTCGGAAAGCCAGGTCCTCCCAGTGATATCCACAAATGACAGGCTTACATTGGGTTGTGAATTGTTGGTATGCCCTTATTTTAATACAACACACTGTCCTGTGTTACTCTATGTATATATCAAGCAGAAAATGAAGGAAATGTTTGACATCAAAATAAACCATATACTATTGAAGTGTGAAATTGTGGCATGTGATAATGGTCATTTTTGGTTGACATTTAGGATGGCACCATAATACGGGGTCAAAATGAAATATCACATCCAACAAATGGATCAATGGAACCTGTAAATAAGGTATGTTCTCCATTTATGATGATAATTCTTTTTGTCTGTCCCGTTACTAACGCTAGAACTTCTCATAACTATAACTATCATTATAGTTTTTATTACTTTTACGAAGGCATTGCCACTCTTTTTAGTTGATACCTTATCTTGAACTTTACTATTTAGTAATAGCTCCATTTGGGTACAAAAAAGGGAAAAAAAAAACAAAAATTAAGAATTATGTAACCTAATGTTTCAACAAGATCTATAATGTGTGTAATTTATTACAGTAATTGTTAAGTTACTTATGAACAAAACTAAAATAAATTCGACCCAATGATTTTGTTTACAGAGCAACTCTTCGGTTCCAGCCCTACATTCAAGAATAAAAAGAGTGTTTTATATGTCCAGTGAAGGCAACAATTTATTGCATGAGGTAATTGATGCTTCTTGTGCTTGTCAATTTGCCATTAAGGAATGCATAGATAAACAAACAACATTATTACAAGAAAGAATGGAGAAGAAACTCAGTAAGGTTGCATGTAATTTTTATTTTCTACTGTATGAACCTGGAGTAAGATGATTGAAATTTTCTACTGATTGCAATCTTGATTTCTTCACTTTGTAAATTTTCACGTCAAAATTGACATTTCTAGTCAAGAGTCCTTAACTTAAAGGTGGAAGTCAATGTTTTAAAAAACTAAATCAATTATTGAGATGTTTTGCCTCTTTGAGCGAGGGTAAGTCTCAAGAAGCCCTGAACATAAACCACTCGAATAATTGAAGACATCATAAATATACAAAAATATATTCATAATAATATATAAACCATAAAATCCATACTAAAAAATAAACAAGTTTCAAAGTACAAGTAGTGGTCACATAAAAAGAACAGTAATCCACTCCTGGGGATGGTGTGACTGGTTACCTCATTTAACACTCTTTATGCGTTTTTAATGAGCAGGTCTTTCCAAATGCAAATCCAACTGTCTTAGAACAGCTGAGGAGTGTGGATTGCATTATCTTTGCTATGGGATCACTATTTACTTCCATATGCCCCTCCCTGGTAACAATCTGAACCATATTGCTACATATGCTGGACCATATAACGATTCATTTGTCCATAGATTAGACAAAATCAAGCTCAGGTTTTTGTTGTGTCACATGCTCTAGGACAAATGAGTTATTGTAAATGTTCTAATTTTCATTATTTAAATTGTATTTGGGAAAATCAGTCAAAAAAAATATTTGATTATTTGAATGAACTTATGATACTTTGGTTCCATGATTTCATTTTTATTTGTTTCAGCCTTTCCAAATACATTTTAGCCTGTCTTATAGAAGGCTATTACATTTATTGTAGAAAAGCTAAAAGCACATGACGTGCCCTTTCTTAGAAATTAGCAGTACAGTTTGAGATATGAAGTTTGGAAATTTGGATTGATGGAAAAAAAAATATATACTTACATTTTCCACATTTCAAATAGAGGCGCCGACTATTTTCTGCCTTCATGGTTTCTCCATTGAACTTAAACCCGCTCCGTTACCTTAAGTTCTTTCTTAGTTGGAGGAAACCCCTGCGAATTTCTATCAAAAACCAATATTATGCATGGTCCTTCTTGCCTATTGTGCGAAGAGCAGAAAATTAGAATCTAATCTATAGTACATTTTCTGGACGATGTCATTGTTCATATAGCCTGTTCTGAAAGTCTGAGCACTATGATAAACTCCTCTGTTTTTAACTCATTGTTCGAATCCGTTCTCTTATAGCTTGTGCTCCATTTTCAGGTTTTACTCGGAATTGGGGAAATTATTTCTTCACGCACTTGTCCCAAGGTAATTTTTTTTCCCATTACTTCTAACAAATATGCTGTGATCTTTTGAGTCATACTTCACTCTGCATAGGACTCTTTAACATAGTTATATGCCTCTAGCTGGATTTTTGTATTTTCTTCTACCATATATTAAAAATTTTAATTCTTCCCTTGCCAGGTGCTTCTTTTGAATGGTACTCATGACAGAGAAACTAGTGGCTTAACGGCTTCTTGCTTTGTGACTGCTATTTCGGATGCTTTAAATCGATCTTATGGAGATCCACACAACTGTCTTAAAAATCCTGTAAGTAGTTTGAGGCATATAGTAGAAGTGTTTGCATATAAGAAGCTTTCACGATAGAAGTTATCTTGGTTTTTAAATATTTTAATCAGTGAACATTATTGGGTACTCACCTAAGAGATGTTAAGGAAATCATATTTAAATAGAAAAGCTACCTAATTGTTCAATATTAAGAGGTATGTGGGGGTGGAGGATTGGAAATATAAATTAGATACTGCTTTCCATTCTTCATTCCGTGAAAGGGTAGAGAAAAACTATTTAGTGTAATGTATATCATGTGAAATATCTTTTGCAGCTTTAGTTTGGCGTGTTTAATGACATCATTCTAATGGTGGTGGAGACTCGGAGAAATATGTATTACTTAAATTGTTTCATTTCCCTTTGCAGCCAAATGAATACATCAATACAATTTTTGTGCCCAAAGGTTGCCAAATTCCTGTAGATATTGATTGTCTGGCCGCCCAAGGGATCTTTCACATGGTATGCTCGCATTTTACAATTTTCTCCATGTGTTATTCGGGGCGCCGTAGAAGTCTGATTTCAGTTGAAAGTTTATTAAAATAATACATCCAAAGCTTTCCTTGTGCAGACGTGAATGCCATCCTATCTTTGACATAAGTATGATAAATCTTGGCAGTAGAACTGTAGAATTATTGTTATCCAGAAATTGCTGTTATATGGAATTTTTTTGCACCTTTTCTCTTCTTCGTTCCAAGAGTAAGGTTTGGTGATGAATACTTTAACTAAGAATTAGCAAATATTACTGGAGTTCTTGCAATTAATTTCTTTTGCTTTAACTGGATGATTTTTGAAATCTCTATCTGTCGAGAAGGAAGTGAAAAAAATGCTGTCTAAATCTGCAATATCCTCATTAACCAGAAAGCTTCCTGAGCTTCAAGTATAAATCACGCATGACCAAGTCACTCCCACATCCTTTTTAGAGTATCCTAAGTCTCTGATATTGCCGAACTTTTTCTTGAAGATTACTTGGCCCGTTACTTATTTTGTTGTTCAGCGTTAAGTAAGGTGCGCTTGCTTTCTTTTAGCAGATTATTATGTCTGCAAAGTTTCTCGATAATATTCTGAAGTACTGTTTAGTTATTATAACTATATTAGGTCATTTACAAGAAACTTAAGTACAACTTGCGCAGATCATTATCCCTATAAGCAATTTAATTAGCCAGAGCTATCAATGGAGCAGCCTCATCCGGATTAAATGCAGCAACCTTTTCTTGATATTCCCTATTCAATTTCTCAGTGAACTCTCTAGATTTATATATTCCAATCAACTTTGGATAAGTGGTTTTATCAGCCAAAAAATCTTTCCCTACAGTTTTCCCTAATTTTTTAATTAAACTTTGTGACATCAAGAATAATTTTGAAAAACTTGATCTCTTTGCGAAATGTTATTATTGTTGTTTTAAAGAAATCATTGCAAGTAGTCTAATATGAGGTACAAGTAAATTGACTAATTGAGCTTATTCCATGTACAAGAGGTGAAGGTGGAGACTTCTTACCTCCATGTTATTTTATTTTTGCTTTTTGCTTTTTCGTTGTCTTGTGTATTTTTTATTTATTTTTTGTGTGCGGATAGCAGTCTAAAAGTTATGACAGGGATGTCCACTGGGGCTAGGGTGGGCGATAGGTATCGCAATGTCCTACTTACGAAACCAAAGAGAGAATTTTCGTTTTCTACCATTTTAAGGATTACTGTCAAATTGTATCACTCATCTATTGGACTTACCTGTTTCACATCACAATTGAAGCCTTTTGAATTCCCTGTCTGGTTATCAATCTACATGGTACATAATATGTGGCATGCTTATTGTACTATTGCATTCCTCTTAATTCACCACTCTACATTATGTCATCAAAAGTATAAGCTTGCACTTGCTTCGTAAAGAGCATATGTAATTGATGTAGTGGTTGTTTACTTGTTATGTAGTATGCTTCATTTATCTGTGCTTTTGTGCTCATTATGGTTATTTGAAATGTTGTAGGTTACGGTTGACTCTGTACATGATTCAAAAGGAGGTATATTGTTTGATCCTAAATCTTTAATACAAGCTCTAGCCAATTTGTTAACTGGATTCCAAAGGAAGAATGTGCATGGAATTTGATCCATTTTGAATTCCTGATGATTGCTGAGAAACAGCAGAAGCGTTTACACCTGGTCATGGTATCTTTTCCCTACTTGCTCCTTTACACCGAGGTACGGGTTTGTATACTGGCGACCTTGTACTTGTTTCGACTATTGATGTACTAACTGAAAATTGAATGGGAAATTCGTGGAATCAGAAACTATAGCTGGATTCAACTTCCAGGTCTACTACTATTGGAGGATAGGTGTGGGTATTTTCCTTCGACTTAATCAATTTTATAATTAATCAGGCCCAAGTTCATGCATTGAGTTGCTGGTTGATGGTGATTTCTTCTAATTGTGTTTTCAAGATGCTGAACCATATTAGCATAGGTTGAGTATTGTAGAAAGAAATGCTTTAGTTATTTCTGATTATTATTTTATGTGATTATCTAATTCAGAATGTAGTTATAAAGCTTCTTGTTTACTTGTATTCACTGCACATGCCTTTCCATTATGGAACCTGACAGACATGGACTGAGAAATGAATGCAATGGTAATAACTATAGCAGTGGTTCTATTGTTAAAAGATTATGTTGCCTAATTTTGATTCATTCGTTTCTAATCTGGTCGCCCAGTTCATTCTGGTTCTCATCACAGTGGTTCCATATCTAACATGACACAAGATGTGCTGGGCCGGCACTGGCTGTTTCCGGGGCAGCTTGTGTTGGGCGTCCTTGGCTTGGGCTGAACCATCCATCTCACAAGCTGGCTGTTATGGATTGAAGCCAGCTGCCTGTTCTGAAACTTCCAGTTCCAATTGAAGCACTCCAGTATTTATCATTAAAGTGAAACCCATTTCGACTATATGGAGGTGTTTTCTTTCGAACACCTTGTACAGTTTCATATAGTGGTGGCAATGGGCCCGAGTAGTTCGCGGGCTCGTGGGCTCGGCTCACCTAAAACGAGCCACGAGCCGCTCGGGCTCGTAAAAAACGAGCCCGAGAGCCAGCTGCCTGTTCTGAAACTTCCAGTTCCAATTGAAGCACTCCAGTATTTATCATTAAAGTGAAACCCATTTCGACTATATGGAGGTGTTTTCTTTCGAACACCTTGTACAGTTTCATATAGTGGTGGCAATGGGCCCGAGTAGTTCGCGGGCTCGTGGGCTCGGCTCACCTAAAACGAGCCACGAAAAAAAAAAAAAAAAATTCAGTGACCAGAACAGTGACCGAACGGTCACTGAACTTTGTCGGTGACCGTTTTGGTCCCTGATATATATATTTTTTTTAAATTTCATTTTCTTCCTATAAATACCCATCAATTACAACATTTTTTCTTACCAAATTTACTATCAATCTCTTATTCTCTACTATACTCTCTACAATTCAATTATTATCAATATTATTCATTCATTCATTCTCATTTCTATACTCTTCTACAATTTATATTCATATCATTAAATTATAAATATAATCTTGATTTTACAATACAGTTTCTACACTACTACATAATCTTCATTCATTTCTCAATTCTACTTCACTTCTTTTTCTTCAACATTCAATTTCAATTAATCACAAATGGATTCACGCTCATTTATTGAAAACTTGTTCGATGTCGGAGTCGGAAATGAAGCAAATGTGTCCCATAATCAATATGGGAATGAGTTCGCCGGTCTAAATGAAGTACCCATTCCAGAAAATATTGAAGATTATAATGTTCATGAAAGTAGTCATCAAATTAATTTGGATGACGTTGATGCTGAGGCTCCAATTGATTTGGAACAGGATGATGAACCTGTTATTGAAATTCCCGATGCAAGAGGGAAGAGAAAGGTAAAGAAGCATGCAAAATGTTGGGATCATTTTAAATTGGTTCAAACTGATCGTATGGTCGATGGAATTCCAGAAACCAAAGCAGTATGTAAATACTGTCAACAACGATTGGCTCATCAAAAAGGCATTGAAACCACCCACCTCAACCGTCACTACAAAGCATGTACGGCCAAACATG